AAAAAAATATAAAAAAATAGTGAATATGTAGTGTTATCTTATTGTGAAATTCTCTTTGTAGCCTTTATGACTCGAGTGACTAAGCCTGCAAGTGTCTCTAAAAATCTGGTACCCTATGGTCATTTAGCTTAGGAGTCATCGGCTGAAAACTCGCTATAAAGGTCATTTTGAAAGCTTAATGGAGAGGAGTCTGCACAATAATTTAAAAAAAATAAAAATTGCTACATGTCTTGATTAAGTCTCGAACACTCATATGAGAGAATTAGACTTTTGACAAGAGATTATTAGCTTAACTGATTCTTAGAGGTTGAAACGATCAAAAATAAGGAGAACCGCATTTGTTGATGTGTTGAATTGCAATTCATAAGATCTAACCAAAGTAGAGATGGTGAAGAATAGTATATAAATTCAACCTTAGATCACACCATGAGAAAAGAGTGAATAAAATAAGTTTGGGAGTGTGAAACCCACGAGAGGAGAAATGACAAATTTGACTATTGAGGGTTGAGATTTGAATAACTTTATGAATTTATGATGCTTGACATGGATTTTCACACACACACGTCGATTTTGCAATGGATAATTGGAAATTAATTTTTGCATTGTAATTTTGTAGCAGTTCATAGTTTTAATACATGTATTCAAATCTTGAGAGAAAAGGCAAATTATCTAACCATACCCGTGTTTAAAATTTTTGGTTAAGTTATGTTATAATTTTGTTTGAGGACAAACAAATGTCCAAGTTTGGGGGTGTTTGATAAGTGTATTTTGTACACTTATCTAGACTATTAAATTGGAGTATTTGTTAGTAATTTGGATGAGTTATAGCTTAATTTTGTGTTAATTATGTTTGTTAGGTTAAACTCAATGCAAATTGGTGGGTTTGGAAGAAATGAATGAAAAACGTGCGAAAACGAAGGAAATTCAAAGTTTGAGGACCAAAGTGTAAACATCCAATAGATGATTCGGACCGCAAAACGATAATTGAAGATCATATAGGATCAATTGGATGCAATTGGAGGTCTAAGGAGTGAAATATAGTGGAAGTATTTTCACAAATCAATTTCTAGCCGAAGAAGTTATGCTATGGATTTTTAGCTTTGACTTGAGACCCATTTTTCGGATATCAAACGTTCGAATTGGAAAACTTGTATTTGTAGAATAATTGTATCTCTTTAAATTACCTTTCCAAAACATTTTGAATCAGCTCAATTGGATACCTGTAGAGAAAGTTATAGCTAAAATATCGAAAATAGACAAACCTGCGCGCGCGCAGACAATTCTTGGCGCGCGCGCGGGGGCCTATTTTCCCAACCCGAGAACCATTTGGTTCTATGGTGCACACGTAACACTTATACCGGTACGCGAGCACGTGCATTTTTCGCAGATGAATCTTTAGTTTCCTTTCGCGATTCAAACTTCCTTCGTTCTGCAAAGCCATAGCCTGAGACAAAAGGCCATCGTGTAAGACCTTATTTCAAGGACATAAGAACTAAAAACAGGTTATTGAGACAAAACTCCATTATCTGATGTGGAGAAAATACAAATTTCTTACCCAATCAACAAGGTAAACGAAATTTTCACTGGGACAATATTTCATGTTGTTCTTTCCAGCAACAATTTCTAGTGCAACCACGCCAAAACTGTACACATCTACTTTGTAGGTTAAGTAACTGTACATTGCATATTCAGGATCCATATACCCACTACAAAATGAAAATGATCAATTGCATATTAGCACAAGCTTTCACTCCTATTTCTCACATAAGAAAGTTCAAATTTCATATATTACACGTCGATGTTCTAAATTATAATTAGGGGTGGGCGTGGGTTGAGTTGGGTCGATTTTTGTCCCAACCCAAACCCAACGCAACCCACGAAAAAATTGAAACCCAACCCAACCCCCCCAAATGTCGGTCGGGTTGGGTCGGGTTGGTCGGGTTGAAACAACCTTTCAACAGGTCGGAAG